ACAAACATACAGTCAGTCTACACTGACACAAACATACAGTCAGTCTACACTGATACAAACATATAGTCAGTCTACACTGACACAAACATACAGTCAGTCTACACTGACACAAACATACAGTCAGTCTACATTGATACAAAGAAACTTGTATATAAATAATGTAATAAAAATGTTAATAATATAAATATATCATATAATGTTCAACACTTTCGGAAATTTGTTTACTACATTGTGTGTTGTAAAAAACGGGTATGAGTAATAAACTTTGGCTCCATCCTTTCAATCGATAGAAGATCTTCTGTGTTATAGTTTCAATAATCACTCCTCAGTAAAAACCTTTGAGCTGTCAAAGTGTTGACATGAAAGTTGTGCCGCTGAGTCAGCAGATATATAAAAAGAGAGAGTTTCATGCGGTCAGTGGGTCAAAGAAAGAGAAGTTTATACAGTTATTCTGCTGCTGTCACTGGTTTCACATGAGACAGAAACGCAACTCAACGCTCTGAGAAGACAAATCATTAATTGCAAATTCTTCTTCTTTTAAACTGTCCTGAAGAAACTGATTTACTTTTCACTACACAGTCCGACACATATTGAGTTTTTATTCATTATTTATCTCAAGTATCCCTCAAAACTCAATCTCTTAAATTTGTTCTGTTAAAGTTTAAAACGTTACACCTTAATAATGAATGAATACAATCAAGAACCAGAGTGGTCATCGTCCTGAAACAGGAAGTCGCGTCTGACTGTGTCGATTACATCATAATTACTTCCACCCAGCATGCACTGGACTTCATCACGGCGTGACTTCCCAGTAAGAGGCACATCAGTAAATCAAGATTTGGATGTGATCGAGTATTGATTACCTGGAATCAACCCTGAATGTAAAATCTGTCTACACACACACACACACACACACACACACGCACACACTGGAAACACAGTAGATACTTTAATGTACTGAGCAGGATGTCAGACTGCTGGTTTAAAGGAACAGTGCCATATCTTTTGTTCTTCTTCAGGTATTTCCGATCATTTTCATCACTGAGTGGCCAGTTTAGCTTAGCTTAGCACAAATAATAAGTTAATGCTGTTTGTTCTTCAGTTTGCAAAGACGCACACTAACACATACAGTCCACATAACAGGTGGAGACACCAGGATCACTTGGTGAATACAAATTATGATTCATGAAATTAAAAAATGGAACACTGGAGTCAAAATCATAATTTTGACTCATTTCAGTCTGTCAACACGTCACTGTGAGTTGAGCTACCTGAACACACACACACACACACACACACACATACACACACATACACACACACACACACACACACACACTCCTGTACCTCTATCTTTGTGAGGACTCTCATTTACATAATGCATTCCTTAGCTCCTTACAATGACCTTAACCATCACGAGTACATGAACCTCACTCTAACCTGAACTTTAAAACAAAGTCTTAATCCTCAAACAGGCCTTTGAAGAAGCCACTCTGTGTTTAGGTCCTCACTCTGTAGCAAGTAAAGGAAATTCACACACACACACACACACACTTACACACACACACTTGCTTCAAGCACTTTTGAGGTCAATGACTTACATTCATTCTGAAGAGATCCATCTTAAACTTAAACTCCTAACCCGATAATGTAACGTTGTGGGGACCATGTGTTTGCCCCCAATCTGAGGACGAGTCCCCACAACGTCTCCAAGTCCTCTCAAACCTGTTTGTTTCTGGGCTCGTCTCATTTAGCGCCTGTATGAACACTGTTCACTTGTAAAGTCAAACGTCATAATATTTATTATGAAAGTTACAGTTTGTCAGTTAATGAGTTTATGCTGTTACATATACTGAATGTGCAAATAATAAAAACGTAATTAACTTATTAACTTATCACTAAATTAAGAAAGTGTCCCCATAGCATCAGTAATTACACACACACACACACACACACACACACACACACACACACACACACACACACACACACACACACACACAGAGAGAAACAGAGATTAAACAAGCAGCTCTTACCTTTTTTGTTTTTCTAAAATAAAAAAAATAATCCAGGACTTTTCCTCAAGACTGTGACATCTCTACCACAGTGTGTGTGTGTGTGTGTGTGTGTGTGTGTGTGTGTGTGTGTGTGTG